AAACTGTTTTTTCGTTTTTCGCTAATAACTCGTAAACTATTAATGCTAGCGAAAAACTTTTAGACAGAAATTGTAGATCTCGTCGTTCTCTACAAGAAAGGTCGTATGCAATTTTCCCGTATCTCCAACGGTTTAGGAGTTATTGAGGAAAAACGAAATTTTTTTCCAAAAGTTCGCCGTTTCGATGCTGGGATGGTCGGATTTTGTCAACATCAATAAAATGTCAATTAATCATAGTTAACTCGTTAAATATCGAAGTTAGATGAAAAAAAACTTTTATTTGAAGTATTTTTCGATATTTTGACAAAAGAAATTTTATACTTTTCCGAGATTTTTCCAAGGGGTACTAGCATTGTTCTTCCGCCGTCTGATTTCTTTTTAATTATAGGGAATGCGTTTTTCTAAGGTACATAATCTTTTGGGATTGACTGTATAGCCAATACATCCTTAAACGATATCGAAAAACCGAATGAATTATAATCTGAAAATTCAGAAGTCTACGTGTCGTGAACGTCTACTTCCGGTTTCGGTATCGATCGGACGTCGGATAAAAATCTGAACGCAAAGTTCGTCCAGCTCGTGCGACACGAGCATTACGCGGCGAAACAATCTCCCCACCTTCGAGTAGGAACAAGCGCGACTTCCAACCCCTTCCTTTGGAAACGGACCGCTCTTAATCCCCCTCCCCCAGGGCGAAAGTTGCTCGCTATAGCGAGCGTAATGCCCTCGAATCCCGATGTCGCCTCTTTTCTAACGAGTCGGCGCGAAACTTCCCTTTCAAGCTCGAAACTTTTCCGTTTCGTGATTTTCGACGAGATTCGCGAGACGATTAGCTCGCCGAGTTCTTTTTACGCGATTTATCGGGGAAAGCGTTAACCTATCTAACACAAGCCCGTACGACCATTCACCCGGACGTGAAATAAAAGTCAGAGTTAAAAGTTTATACTGTTTCCAATGAAAGTCGCGAATAATCGGAGGATATAAATGTGACCCAGCGAAATTCTAACTACTGCAGACACCTTCTAGTGTAATTTATTATGGATGTATATTGTACTTACTGGTCCACTAGAAGGAACTTGTCGCCTTCGTTGTGCAGGCACCTGCCCTTGCTTGACAGCTCGTTTCTGGAGATCACGATCGGCTGTCTGACTCCGCTCTGAAACCAGGTGCCTTCCCATTTCGGTGGAAACGTGCATTCTAAAACAGGCATCCAACGTTCATCATCCACGACTGTTATGATACGAGTTTCGAGATACCGTCGTTCAAATTTATACGACGGTTCTATTTTAAAGAAACTGTCCTCTCGAATGTACATGGTCGCTTCCATCGCGGGACAAGTATTAGATCGCATAATTTCTTTCCATATGTACAATGAGTACTAAAGATTCTGTCTAAATATAAAAGTGTCTAGTAAGTATCAATAACAAAATGTATAAATGATATTTAAAATTATTACTATAGATTTTATCTTTAATATGTTATAATATATGCAACGAAGTTGAACAATAATGATTCGGATCGTGTGTCGATAAATGACAGGACCAGATACTTTCGAGCGGCAGAGTGGGTCCAGCGTATTTTTCCCGTCGCAATCTCGAGGAAGTCGCGTTATGTAGCAAAGGAGGACGGCAACGTATGTAATATCGTCGGCGAAGTAATTCGGAACAAATCGTGGTACGATCGAAGACAAAGGGCAGAAACCGTGCGGAGGGGGGAAGGTAAGGGTTGAACCGGAGGGTGAAGAGCGCGCATAACCATGGCGTCGAGATGGGAATTCCCCGGACGGGATAATCCCGGGGGCGAAGCGAATTTCCGGGAACTACAGCCGTACCACGGAAGGGATACATCCAGCCGAGTTATCGACGATAATCGAAACCCGGCGATGTCCCTTGTGCATCGTTTCCTTTCTCTCGTTGCGCTGCGCATCGCCAAACCACCTGCGAACCCTGCGCGTCCAAAACGAAAGGAATTTCTGGTTTGTCAGATTTTTCATTACAAGAGGAGATACAATTCTTCGGAATTGGGAGCTTGATGCAGAACCGGTTCGCGTGAGAGGCGAGCTTTTAAATAAATCAGTCAACCCTTCCTCGGACCACGGTATACACAATTACCGGGAGGAAAAGAATAAACAGAACAAGAAAAAGGAAGATATTCGTGGCGCGGTCCTTAATGAGGGGTTAATTAGATTTCGTCCCGCGAGGGACGGTGGAGGGAGGGAAAATATTATTCCAACGAGGGATCGGTGGACGTTTTCGAGTCGCGTCTTTAAGTAAAAGCTCTGTAAATAAAAGCTGTTATTGTCGTTCCTGACGGAGGTGTTGATTCACCTAATTGTGGCAATCGTCGTTTCTTCGATCGAGAGACGGACCACTTCGAAGAGAAAATAATCGAGTTGGATATCGTCTTTGACGACATTTTTACCTTTCGTCCCGCGCGACTTCATCGTCGTTTCCTCGGTTTTAATGCGAAATAAAAGAAATTTACTCTGGCTCGAAGGGGTGGAGACACTTCTCGGCCGGAGGGCTAACGGTAGAATAATAAAGCGCGGAGGAAGCGTTTTAAGAGTTCCAGGGAACCGTTACTTATCGCGAGGGGGACGCTGATATTGACGCCTGTCATTTTGAAAAGTTTTTCCAACCGCCGCACAAAGAATCTATACACTCGCAGACCTTCTTTATATACGTACGACTACTGAGTGTCGAATCGTGTTTCCTTTCGCGAAGGGAAAACAATTTCCTCTCGCCCTCGTTCGCATGTGAAAAATTAAATTCGATTCCCATGGCAGGGCTCACTACTTTATTTACTCTATAGTACGTTAACCACTAGTGCTGAACTAACTGCATGCAGATCTGTACTTGTACTATAGATTAAGTGTTTCGAGGGAAAATTGAACAGGGAAAAGGGAAATTAAAGTGCTAGCGTTCCTAGGCCCGTGCCAGTAGTATAACTCAGCCATAATTCTGACACCTTGGTTACGGCCGCTCGCGAATTAAAACCGTTAGAAGTGGAAGAAAGAAACGAGGAGAGTGGTGATGTTCATGCGCGATCCAAAGGGTCTTATCGTTAACAGCATCGGTGAGCGCAAGAGAAACAGGAAAAGAAGAGCGGAGGGTGAGAGGGTAGGGAGAGAAAGCAATCGAGTAGGAGATTCGATTCCGCGACAGGAGGATGAGCGAGTGTGCGGGGGGAGGGGGAGGGGGTAGGATTCGAGGGAGTCACCACGAAACACTCGACCATTTTTTCCTCTCTCGTTCCATTCCGCAGCCCCCTTCTGCCCTCGGGGGTGAGATGGCTGGTGCGAACTGTGATTACGGATTTCGAGTCTCTCTCGCGGATTTTACGAGCCCGCCGTGAATCGCGAGACTCGCCTCACTTCGTCCTCGCCTATCCGCTTCAACCCCCGAAAACCGAGCCGCGGAGGGGGAAACGCGCGGCACACGAACCGCATGGAAATAAATAAATGCCCGCGGGGTGGCCGCTGGCGTCGGTGAGGCGCGGAGGGGGACGGTTCGGCTCCAGGGACCACCCGATATCGATTTCAGTCGCCCTCGAAACTCGCTTCTTTTCCGCCAACTCTTTTTTTATCAACTCCTTTCAAGGATCGTAACGTGAAATGGTAAATACTTGTTAATTTACTTCGTTTCGTATGTTGGACGAACAACGTACGGAGTGTCGATTCGTGAAAATCCCATGGCGTTATTTTTCGTTAACGGAACGAGCACGAGTGGAGGATTTGCCGTGTGGAAAATTACGCGGAGTTTATTCTCACGGACGAGTCATTACTTTCCCGCGACCTCCTTACCGGTGCGCGTATCCGGTTTCCCTCGACCCATTCCCGGGCGCGAGTAACGATCCCCTGGTGGCTGTACGTCTCTCCGGAAAACGGGCCGACCGTTCTCCAATTGGACAATGATAATAAGGGTAATAGCGACAAGAATAATAACGTGGAATGATTAGAAAAATTGCGCGAACGTTTCGCCAGGGACTTAACGTTCCCGGCGATGGTTTGTTGCACCGATTAAAATTAACAACCGGGAGAGTTCGTCGAAACCGTAGACGGCGTTCCTTTCTTGTGAAAATAAACCGGGGCAAATTTGCTCAACGCAACGGCGAAGAGGTTCGCAAAGCGAATGTCAATTTCGTTTAAAGTTTCTCGTAAATCAAACGTCTGTCGGTAGCGCAGCTTCTGAGAGGTACAATTTGTATTTTTCCCTTGAGAGAGATTGTTGTTTCTACCTTTTTTCACAAACTGCTTCATCGACTTCGCATTTATTACAGTATAAATAGAAATAAATTACAGCTTAAACAACCGACTCAGGCTTCCCTCTCGCTGATTCCTAACAATTTATGTACCGAGTATATGAGGAACGGAAACGAATTAACAATAACAGACTTTAATTACACGGTGGCGCTAACGAACGATAAAACATGAAATTTTTCCGTCTATTTTGTTCTTCTGGTTTTTTTTTTTCAGAAACTCGTCGAACAATACACGCGATATAACGGTGGCCGACAATTTTTCATTCTTTATCCCCGGCACAATCCATTTCACCGGTATTCAAGCAGCCGTAACGACTCCTGCGTGGCTGTAATTTACCCCAGAAATGGCCCACGACAAAATACCCACCCTGCTACGCTCTCGTAACGCCGAGGGTCACGTGGCCGAACCCGAAATTTCTTGATTAAGACGACGGCACGCGATCTTCCGTGGCAGGTGCCCGCTCGTTTCTCTTTTCCCGCGTCCCGATCAATCCTTGACCAAACTCCGCACCATTTTCCCCGGCCATGAAAATCGCCCAGCAATCTCGTTTACCGCTCCTCGTATTTATTTTTTTGCTCAAAACGGAATTGATGAACAATGATGATTCCAAGCCTCGGAAATAATTTATTGGTGAATCAAATATTCGTCGCCCGATTATACCGTTGAAGGATAGTGGTCAAGGAACGGTGATTATCGCGGTATCAAACGCGATCGCGATTTTAAGCACGCGCCATTAGTTCGATTCGAATCCGGGGAATCGTCATACTCTTCACGAACAGGACTTCATCCGAGAAATTGTATACTATCTGCCGATTCGATCTGCTCTATTCAGATCGGCGCAGTCGCCTCCCTCTCTTTCAGGTTGAATCAGCCCCACGGGACGCGACGAGCTTCCATTGTGATCTCGAACTTACGGTATTAACAATGTTGCCGCTGATAATTGCTCGAACCATGGAAAGCCTTGATAACACTCGACTCAGTATTGAAAACAATTTATCGCGCTGAAACTACGCAGACGTCATGTTTTTTTCTGAAAAGCTCCGGCCTTTGAATATCGATGCCGATTTTAATTTCAATATTTAATTTCTACAAAATTTTACTCATTAAATATTCAAAGCTTTTAGGAAGCTCGTGATTGTCGTGACGCATCGAGTGGCTTAATTTACAGGGAAATCGGAGAAAGCGGGCAGCTGGAGATTTAAACGCGACCGAATGAAATATTCGCCAATGCGGGGATGAGCTCGGGTGAGATTAAGTAGCCTGGATCGCGTCCCAGCGGGAACTGGCAGCCGTGTGTTGATATGGACCGGCCGAAACTTTGGCTATAAACTGCGCCAGGGCCTAATATATGTCATTTATCTGAAGGAGAAGCGTGAACCGTGGCCCCATGAGACCCATTCGCTACCAACTGGTTCGCGAAAAGAATTTCGTCTTGCGTAAATTTTCACGCGTAAACGTGCCTCCGAGAAAACGTATCGCGTTTTTTGATAAAACTAACTTCTGAATCATAATATTATCAGCGAAGGGACGAAACTGCTTGGAGTGTATTCTTGATGTTTTAAAAGAACATACTTCAACCCGTCTGAGGCTTGAGCGTTCGACGTCACAAGAGGTGCCACGCCGTTTTTCCCGACAAAATGTCGACAAATTTGAAATGAAACTCGAGCGAGACAAAAGGTCTGACACTTTTATCCGGGTTCCTTTTTAAAGCATATGTAGGTCAAATGAAATCAATGTTTCCCCGTGCAAACGAAACAATATCGGATTGACAACTGAATGGAAAACACCCTCCAAACAATTCTTCCGAAAAATGAAACGCGATGTCTCGAACACGGTGAACAAGTATCGTCCCGTCGTGAAAAACTTTGATGGAAAAATAAATTGAATCCATAGAAAAAAGAATGATTCGTTAAACCGAGGACGGATCTATGGAACC